AATAACAAGTTAGATAATTGATAAAGGGGTATGTGCTTAGATAACATTACAATATATAACAGGAGGAAAGAATATTTCTATTCAAGGTAGAAGTTATTGTACAGATTCGATTGCTGCTGTTAATAAAGGTTTGCAGACTTTACAGTCGGTAATGGCGTGATTTTAACATATATTCATTTTTTAAAATCCCTTTGATGATTTAAGAAATAACTAAGTTTCCAATTTCCTCACGCAAAAGTGACCTAAGATAAATTTGATCATTCTTATTTTGTCCCTTTTGGTCATATAGCCCCATATGTATTTATACAGCCATGGCTTTCAAATGTTTAGGTTAAAGCATTCCTGATGAAGGTTAATATAGAAAAGCGCTTCAAACGCAGAATTTTCCTGAGGTACTATTTTCTTTCCGTAGCAATTTGTTAATTTGTTGGTTTCGGGAAATTTATTTTTCCTCATAGGCTTTCTTTGTGTCTTTGGTGAAAGGTACTGAATATTTAATGTGCAGTTGTTTCGTTTTCCAAACAACGGCCTGAAATCGATTGGATTTTAAACTAATATTTGAGAATAAAAATGGACCAACTATAATTCCCTTTTATTGTTCGTTTTCACATTACTATTTAGAAGAGACTGAACTATTGATTATACCGTTACTGTTGAAAGTCTTAAATTAAAACAAGCAACACATGACTATACGAACGTTGTATGAGATCTTTTAGAAGGACAAATTATATCATGCTTGTAATGTTTCAATTTAGTATCCAAAATGATTCTTAATGTTAAAAACGATTGATACAAAAGATGTGTTTGAAACTACCACAAATCAACAGACCAACAACAGGAAAACCAACTAGAGCTACTGCAAGCAAAGTTCACATTATAAACAAGATGCACATTTAAAAAAAAATGGGGAATGTGTCCATGGGACACAGATGATGCCCCCGCTTGCATATTACGTTATAAAGAGACATAACGCAAGAAATACAAAAGTGACGCTACCTAAATTTGTACTTGATCTGTGTTTTGTGGTAATAAGCATTATTATATATGTGTATAAGTTTCATAACATTTAGTTGAGGCAGACTTAAGTGAGAGAACGGAAACGACAAAATCAGCAATTTTTCCATTTGTAAAGGGGCATAACTCCAGAACGGTAAAAGTGACGCCACCAAATTTCAAACTTGATCAGTGTTTAGTGGTAATAAGCATTGTGTATAAGTTTTTCCATTTGTAGAGGGAAAACTCTAGAACGGTAATAGTGATGCTACTCAAATTCGTATTTAATCTGTGTTTTGTAGTAATAAGCAGTGTGTATAAGTTTCATAACATTTGGATGAGGTAAACTAAAGTTAGAGAACGGAAACGAAAAACTCAGCAATTTTTTCTATTTGTAAAGGGGTATAACTCTAGAACGGTAAAAGTGACGCCACCAAAATTCGAACTTGATATGTGCTTTGTGGTAATTAGCATTATGCATAAGTTTCATAATATTTGGTTGAGGCAAACTAAAGTGAGAGAACAGAAACGAATATTTTAGCAATTTTTCCATTTGTAAAGGGGCATAACTCTAGAACGGTATAAGTGACGCCACCAAAATTCAAGCTTGATCTGTTATTAGTAGTAATAAGCATTGTGTATAAGTGTCATAACATTTGGTTGAGGCAAACTAAAGTTAGAGAACGGAAATAAAACATTTAGCTATTTTTCCATTTGTAAAGGGGCATAACTCTAGAACGATAGAAGTGACACCACCAAAATTGGTACTTGATCTGTGTTTTGTAGTAGTTAGCATTGTGTATAAGTTTCATAAGATTTGGTCGTGGCAAACTAATGTTAGAGAACGGAAACGAAAAATTCAGCAATTTTTCCATTTGTAAAGGCGCATTACTCCAGAACGGTAAAAGTGACGCCACTAAAATTCAAACTTGATCTGTGTTTTGTAGTGATAAGCATTGTGTATAAGTTTTAGAACATTTGGTTGAGGCAAACTAAAGTTAGAAAACGGAAACGAAAAATTCAGTAATTTTTCCGTTTGTAAAGGGGCATAACTCCAGAGCAGTAAAAGTGACGCAACCAAAATTTAAACTTGATCTGTGTTTTGTGGTAATGAGCATTGTGTATAAGTTTTAGAAAATTTGGTTGAGGCAACTAAAGTTAGAGAACGGAAACCAATTTTGGGATGTACGTGCGTACAGACGGACAAGGGTAAAACTTATTGCCCTCTCCGCTACGGCGGGGGCATCAAAATCCACCAATTGCAAAGTCGATGATTTGGTAATGGAAATAACTTAAATAATTGAAAACTAAATCAAGAAAGGATGTCACAATGTCATAATATTTTTTGCAAATTTAATCAAATTCTGATTAGGGATTTAAGAGGAGACTATGGAATAAATATGTACCGTAGTGTGCATATTATTTGCTGGTTGAAACACCGAAAATGAATCTGTTAATAAATAAAATAAGAGGTGTACATTTATAATTTTAAGAAAGTTTTAATAAATTGTAATACAGAGTTTAGAAGGAGTTGCGGATATAGTTACGAAATTAGTTTCGAAATAAAGCAACGGAAAGTTCATGCTATAGTAAAGGAAGGACAAGAATGATTCTGATAGAATGAAAAAATAGGAGGTGTACAATATAATTATATAGTAAAGATAGTGAGAAAATTTCAATAAATTGTAATAAGGGGTTTAGTGGAGGTTGCGAATACAAAACGGGTACCCAATAAATAAATCAATGGCAAAGCCTATGCTTGGTGAGTGAATCCCTAATAAATGAATCTGATCAAAATAATAGAAGGTGCCAAATAGCTTTATATAGTTACAGATACGATTCTGAGAAGATTTCATTATATTATGATGAGGGATTTATCAGAAAGAGAAGCGGGCACCAATGTGTCCTATATTCAGTGTGTGTGCAGATATGTCGCAGTTCGTGTTATTCGATAGTGGACCATAAAAATCATTCAGATGTAGAAATGAAATTGGAGGGTAGAAAAATGAAAGAATGATTTGGAAGTAAGTTGTAACAGAAAAAAGAAATAAGGGAAATGGTATGATTATGTCACTTTTTTTATACTTGTATCTGTTCATGCGTGAACCATTCACCAATTAGCCAGTGTTTCAGTTCTGGTATGATTTCGAATTGAAAAATTATGAACTGGTACTAAATCTAAGGTTGCAACTTCCCTAGGCAAAGTTTACATTAGACGGTGAAATAGCTGACCTGTTAAGGCTCTTCTGATTTTTATGTTCTCGTTATCTTATAACTATCTAATAATTTTGACTTTGAGCGTACTTTGTGAAGATTCTTACAGAATCACTTCTAAAGCGCATGGAAATTATTATCATGCATTTTTTACAAAACATGAACAGTAACTTACAGAGACTTTCAAGTTACTGTATGGTTGGAGATACAAAGATAAATTTGATTTTGTCCAAGTATTTCATGGGATTGTGGTCTCTTTTATATTGACATCTATCCCTTCTTTAACAGATGGTTGGTAAATTTTAAACTGATTGAACTACAACGACTTATAATAACATAAACTCAGGTGATAAGAAAGGTTGGGTTAAAATTTGTCAATGCTCTTTCCAAACCTCGGGAAGAGCTAACTGTTTTGAGATTGTGTTTTTTTGTTATATTAGTTTTGTCTCAAACAAAAAACAGTAAAGAGTCATCAATAAAAAATATACATCTTTATGAACTAGCATATATCAACTGCTGATTCTGAAGTATTTTCTGCACGAGATTATCTCCTCAAAGGCAAAAAAAACAGACAAAAGTTAATTTATAAGACATCCATGTAAATATAACTATAAATATAAAATTCGCAGCATTGTTAAGTTGAATAAAAAAGCTACGATATTTCCGTGAAGGACATAATCTTAGATGAAGGTCGTAAAATGTCGTTCATGAAACAGCAATCCAACAACACAAATCAGTAAAATAATATATGTTGTTTCAAGTTGGCTGAAGGGGATTCTGAAGAATTTGTGTTTTCCGCGAGCAAATCGGTATTTAAAGTACATTGTGTTCGTCCATTCGTTCTTGTGTTCGGTAGTCCGCCGTTGTACACCTCCTGATTTTTAATCAGACATATTTGTTGGAATTCTAAACCAAAGGCTTTACTATTTCTATAAACATGATAAATGATGGTAGTCACTTCATGACCTCCTAAGTAAGTTTTTTGGATTATCAGATAAAGGGAGCGGAATATGATAATTTTATCTCTGTTTGCAGTCTTTGTCTGCTTTCCATAAGATCTTATGTAAAACTATGTTCCATAACGGTGGCAAAAATTACGAGTATTTTCTTGCGTCAGGATCTGTACATAGTCGGCAAAAACGCCAAGACTATTTGCACGTGTAAATGTATAGAAAATACAAATAAAAAAGTAACTATAGAGTTATTTGTGGTGAAAAATAATCTTGAATCTTATATTTTCAAACGTGTTTTTAAAACAGTGTAATAAAAATGTATGCCGTTGAAAGCATAATACTATCACACCATGTTTACACATATAAGACCAATATGTGTGGCACCTCCGATCCTTTATAGTTCAGAAACTCTTACACTTCTGCACGTTTAGATGTAGAAGTGGTTTGCTAAATTAGATTAAACATTTCTCACATAAAAACCATTGTTAGTTTGGAATGTCAAGCAAAGTCGACAATACCATACCATTATTACAGTGTAGGAGCAGAAATGTAAATAATTTCGTGTCGAATGTTTGCTGTTTTACATTTTAAAAGGATAATTATTATTAAGTAACTAATATATCCTTCAATACGAATAAAGATGTGATATTAGGTATACAAATCATGGCACACAGTCTTGCAAAATGCCAAAAGCTTTTTGTCGTGCTCATATGTGTACCAAGTAGTAAGATTATTTCATACTATCCTCAATTTGCAAACATTCAACACTATGTGCATTTCCGGTCCTACAATATATTTATCTGGTCGCAAAAATATATGGTTTCATAAAGTAAAACTCACCGTTTTTGATACCACTGTTCCATCAGCATTATAAAATTTAACGTTGAAAGTCTTTATGTTATTGGTACTTTTTAGTTTAACCTCATTCACTGGTTTTCCCCCTTTGGGTGTGTAATCAATGATCAGCGTTGATTCATAACTTTTGAAGGGAGTGATAGAATTTGGTCGTAGATTTTCTATGTCAATGGAATGATTATTCACTTTAATTTCCCTGGATGGTATTATCGCTGATGATGTCATTCCTTCAGTTTTCCTGCAGATTGGTGTCGTTGTCAACTCAGCTGTTCAAATTTCAAGAAATACAGTATTGCGTATTGCTTATTTTAAATCAATATTTATGTTATGTAACGAAGGAACAACAGTTGATTAAGAACAGGTTTATTAAGGGTAATAAAACGATTGAATCTGAAAAGATTACGTTAAAGGTGGCATTAGATAGTCTATTGAAAATGAAATCACATGAAATTTTAAATTACCAAAACAAATTTCCTTATAGAACAAGTTTTAAAGTTACATTCGTGTAGTAAAATCTCTTATGTTTCAATACCGTAGGTTGAAGCATCTTTTTTTTATAAAACAAAGGTTTAAGCATGTTTTTATTTAATAAATCAAATAAAGTTAAGAAGAATGAGAAATTCATCCAAAAAGTAGTTTGGTATATTTTTTCACCAAAAAAACAAATCCGCATTTTTTATTGTTTAACAGATCTAAAATACATTTGTTATAAACTTTGATTTAATACGTTAATAAGAGCATGTCTCTGATGAACCTTGTAATATTCTGTGTCAATTTTCAGTTCAGCCATTCTTAATACGTATTAATGAACGATATTCAGTAGAAGTATCACACATTCGTGTATCTCAGATATTGAACTTGTTCAACACAACGGAAACGGGGTTGTTGGTTGCTTTGTCACAAGTATCAAAGAATGGATGCACACGATTGTAAACATGATTACGTAAGCTAAAAAGTATATTGTGCATTGAACCTGATGTTTTGTTCACGTAATTTTACTATTGAAATGAACAGTGGTACCAGATGCATGTGACAGCTTACATGTATTCGTTGCACAAAAGAAACAACTCGCCAAATGTCTGGAATTTACACTAATAATTTATTAAATAAAATGATAAAATCAAATTTAATACGAACACATCAGCATGTGCAGTACTGATGATGTCGCCCTGTTGATATTAATTCAGCTTTAAGTTACCGTCCAATACAGAGAACGCCTTATTTATCCATGGACTAAATCAGGATATTAACTTCCGGTTGGAAATTTTTCACACCGGACTTAATTTTGGAAGCATTTGATGCACTAGAAATTTTTTGCATCATATTTTGACACCTAAAAGGACATGTGAAAGTTTAAATTATGTTCCGTGTTTTGCTGCGATTCGAAATGGAAATATTCCACTGCTATTGCGATTATCTTTTTTGATTAACATCACTGTTTCAGTTCTGTCAATCAAACATAATGCAGATGACTAGAATAAGAATGGTTTGTCTTGGGTGTTTTTTTATTTGCTAGTTAAAATATATATTAGCATTAATTAGGTACTTGGATTGGAATTCAAAAACCCCATCAATATTGTCAAAAAGTGAATAGTGACTGAGATAAACTAAGTTCATGTATTATTTCCTGTATCTGCATAACGATGAGTTTCTAGTTTGATCGAAGAATAAGAATAATTTAATAAAAGTGTTATGAACATGTTGTTTCTGTATTGGTACTGGTATAGATTCTCAATCAGATGTATTGGCCTTCGACTCTTCGAACGTCGTAGCAAATTGAGCACACCTCGAATCTATACCAAGGCAAATACAGAAATAACCAGTTAATACCAACATCAATACATCATTTATTTGAAATATTACAAGGAGCAGATTTATATAATTGAAATATGTTTTTGATATTTTGCATAATAAAGCGTGTTCTATCAATAATATACATTTATGATTAAAATGAAGTTTACTTTACTGAATTTTTAGATTCGTTATTTTCCAAGTGGAAAATATACCAACGAATTTTCAACAATTACTACTCTAATAAGTTTCTATATTAAGAATTTACAAATGAGAATCGCATATCACAAATTTACACGAGGCCCTAGACAAACATATGACGGTTGAATTGTTGGTATAACTTTTTCTGTGTTTTCTCCGTTCTGGAAACAAATAAATATGTAAACAGAATCTTTTTCCCCTTTTGGAAACAAAATAAAAAAAAAGTAAATTTCATTAAAGCAAAGGATAAGATATTTCCATAAGGTCAAAAGTAAGTAACAGACCCCTTAAATGATAACAAATAGGGAATTGCATAATCGACTCGTACATCAAGACATACTAAGCTAAAACATAAAGTTAAGTTTGCTTCCAAAACAGAGCCCAAAATTCTCCATAAAGGCCTTTCATGAAACCTTTAATTTTCGTTCGGGAAACACTTCACATGTTCAAGATGTTTTTTAAATTTGAAAATTTATCCGAATGTCTGGTCTGTCAGACTGTTAATATTTTTATCTTAATTCTTCTGCATTCAATCTATTTGAACCAATGATTGTTTAACTGAGTTCTATCTTTGATTTACTTTTCATATTTTAACGCGGACCATGTCGGCATTATTCCTGAAGAGGAAACACCTTACTGCCATACTGGGTTATGAAAAAGATCAAGTACTTATTTTGAGTAGACAGAAACGATGATCAGTCACCTTCATTAATGCCAATTATAAGGATAGGTTGATTGGATGGTGGATAGAGATGACTTAGCCATTAAAACTATTGGTTCAACAGCTTTATTTTAAGCAAAAAACCTTTCTCTAAGTAATGAAAACACAAGTCTAGCAGCACTGTATCAAAATTTAATTTTATCTTACTCGTACTGTCAATATCAAAATATAAATCAAGAGTTAAACAAGCAATAACAATATATTTAGTTTCTTTTATTTCAGATGCAAAGAGATAACTTTTAGAATTTATCCTTACCCCAAGGTTTGAACTTTGGTCACAAAGACTTGAAAATCAATATTCGTTCATCTTGGGTTGTATGTATACTTAATTTTAATGAAAATTTACGATTGTTAGGTCTGTATTGATAAATACATTAACAGACATTAAATCTGTCATTAACAATACGACAATCAAATGTGTTTTACACTCGAAATAACAGTTTGAAAATTTAAGAATTACTTCACCATATTTTCAAAGTTATTATTTTTAGATTCAATTGTGTTAACATTATCCATTGCTCTGTTGTTCACTCTGATATCACACAAAACAAAATATTTACACCTCGAGGACTGATAATAAATGTATTTATTCATCTGTTACTAAATATGAAAACAGAACAGGAAAAGTGAGAGTAGCCAAATGTAAATGTTTAGAATCCATTTTGATCTTTTAAAGGCTATATGTTATGCATACCCTTGTAAAGACAGTGTTTATATTTCATGGTCATAACTGGTTAGTTGGTTTTAAAATTGGAATTAGATGAATAAATAATTATAACTGTATACATGTTTCTATATATACTATATGATTTGATTAAGTTCCAATCAATATGCATGTGCATGTACGTCGAATGGTACGCGGTTCTTTGTTTAAAAGACATATACAGGTACAATAAAAGCAAACAATAAATACCAAATAACACATTCAGATCACGACATCATAACGTGATGGAAAAGAATCTAAGTAACCAGTATCTTGTCATTGTTTACTGACTAGGTATGTTAAGTATTGCTGCTTTTGAATTAACTATTTAAAAGATCCGATATGTTCATAAAAAGATTAACTTTAGGAATCGTATGTGTTTCTTATATATTTTGTACAGGCGCTTGAAGCTTTTCTATTTCTAGAGAATGTTTTAATTTTATGTATTATACCGTTTCCTGTTAACAAACATAACAATGTGTTTTACTCTAACGGAACACATTATACTTTATAATACGTGAATGTGATAATAAATCTTTAAAAGGTGAAATAACAACATATTGCTTGTGTTTTATATAAAGATAAGAAGATGTGGTATGATTGCCAATGAGACAACTTCCGACATGAAACCAAATGACACAAAAATTAAAAACTAAAGGTCACCGTTCGGCCTTCAACAATGAATAAAACCCATACAGCATAGTCAGCTATAAAAGGCCCCGAAATGACAAATGTAAAACAATTCAAACGATAAAACTAACAGCCTGATTTATGTACAAAATAATGAACGAAAAATAAATATGATATACAGCAACAAAAGACAACCACTGAATTACAGACTCCTGAATTGGGACAGGCACATACAGGATATGGCGGGGTTAAACATTTTAGCGGGCGCCCAACCCTCCCCTAACCTTGGACAGTAGTGTAACAGTACATCATATGAACAAACTATAAAAATCAGTTGAAAAGGGCTTAACTCATTAGATATATACAATCAACAAAAACAAGTAACAAAAACACAGGGTGGACGTGGATAAGTTGGATGTTTAAAGCCACTTCCAGTGGCCTTCATAACTACAAGTTTTTGTTTGGATGACAAAAGGAGTACCTATGCGGAACCACATACCTTCGGCAGGAATACTGCTCAATCTTTGTCAGTTGATATCGGAGTCAACACACATCGGAAAAAGCAGGGGTTAAAACTCGCAATCTCAGAGTTAAAACAACGACAGAGCAAACACATAGATAACGGAATATATTATTAAACCTTACATGTTAAAAATTGAAATAAATTATATAGTAAGTACAGGTGTATGTTATTTTTTTAGAGGGTGAAATAACGTGAATTAAAATACAGGAAACAGGGTAAGGTATTAATTTTGCATGCATGTTAATTTCAAAAAGGGGGAAAAATGATAAGGCAAAAACAGATTACAGAACGCATTATACTTTTACATTCTTCTTAAATGTCTTTTTAAAGTGAATTAAATCATAAAGCAAATACAGGTTACGGAACACATAATACTGTTACATCATGTTCAGGTTTTAAAAAGGTGAAATTAAATGAGAAAGCATATTCGGGTAACCGGACATATTATGATTTTTCTTGATTGATATTTTTCAAAAGATGAAATAACGATATAGCAAAGACTGGTCACGGGACATATACTTTACAATGCATTTTACTCTTCTAAGGGTGAAATAAACGATAGGGTAAATACATGTTACGGAACGCATTATACTTTTACTTGTATATTGTTTTTCAAAAGATGAAATACCGGTAAACAAATAAAATTTACAAAACAGGTTATACTTTACCGTGTATACATTGTATATTATGCTTCAAA